TAAGTATCATCCATGCGCATCATCACTTTGAGAAATATATAAATGCAGACAAAAGAGCATTTTCAAAACGTTTGCAATCATTTACACGAGAATTCTTGGTTGTTGCCTTTGAAGAGCACTGGTGGAAAAGTGCGTCAACCTGATTATACGAAAAATACACGACTTATTTCAAAGGTAATGATGAATGAACCTGGTAACCCGAACACCATAAATGGAGATATTTTTGTGCCCTGCACCTTGCTGAACTAAACTAGATTACGTCGATACCACCTCACTGGCCAAAAGACAGCACCAGGACTGTGCCTACCTGATGAGTATCAAGAACGGCAAAACCGGTTGTGGTCTGTCGAAGAATTTTCAGCAAACTTCTGAGTAATATATTGCATCCATACAATCATCAGACAGCATTAATCTATCCCAGGGTGCCGCTGCGTCCCAACACAGTTACTCAAGAAAGTTTCAAAAGCCTGGGATCAAACGCTGACTAATAGCAGGACTTTGTTAAGTGTATCGCTTGTCTGAATCATTCCGGTTAGGCTAAGTCTGCGCCCCGCACAGACTTATTGTTCGATTGAGCCATCCTGTTACTGCGAAACAGCACAATTCTAGTGTGTTACAGATGTTCTAGACTTACACTCTCGTAGTCCGTAGTTGAGTAAACGATCAAGCACATATAAGTAAAACAGAGTGCTTATTTGCTATCTTGCATCGTAGCCTTTATCCCCAAGTGAAATGAAATCTGACGCCAATTTATTTAAAGTAAATCAATACCAATGTTGAGCTCATGGGCGTGGTTGAGAAACACAACTCTCATTGTGACCTTCTGGTGTTTTTGGACTTTTTTCGGACCATTTTAGAGTTTTTCAATGTTTTATGGACATTCTGGAGTCAGTATTGCCGGAAGCAGACCCAGAAACTTTCAGTGTAGGACCGCCGTCAGTTATAAAACCGTGACTAACACTTTTTACAATCTTGTTCGCCAAAACTCACGTTTCCATTTTTTTGAACTAAGTGCGCACATTTTTCACCTAGATTCCTGTAAATTTTTAGCATGCTCGTCTGCGATCAGTTAAGCTCATTAATAAATGCAACCCAAAGTCATAGAAAGAAAGGGGATGTTGAACAAAAACCGTCCTATTGACTAATCTACCCAAAGCCTACGTAATTCTGGTCAGAAATCGCATCGCTCAATGAAATTTACAGGCGAAAATCCAAGTAGTACAGCTGTGTATACAGGGTCAGATGAAACGAGTTGCGTTGTCTGATTAAAAAGCCTAACCCATCCGGATCACAAAGGAGTGATTGAGAGTTCCCAGTCCCTCCCTATGAAGGAGATTGAGAATGTGTTAACAATCAACTCAATAGCAGATCCCAAGTAAATCATCCCGAACGAAGTCACAAGTCAAACCAACACCTGCAAATAGAATCTCACTCAGTCCCTCTGGATGTATCCAAGTCAATCGGTGGTGCACAACCTACAAAGCGACAAAATGAACCGACTTCCTGGCAAACAATCTTTAACTATACGGCTACAAGTGCATATCGACCCACAAGTCTTCCAAACTGGATTGCCCAATCACTCGAAACCGACTTGGTCACTTAGGTACGTGACTTTTCCTTGCAGCTGGGACCTTTTAATCTATCATCGATCTGTCTACACCTTGCTTCTAACTTCACCACTTTCTAGAAATCAACCCAACTTATAGTGATTAAACCAGGTTATCAGGTACTGAAACTGTAGCCGGATTAGATCACATTCAAGCAGCCGGCAAGGATAGCCTAATGGAGAAACCGTGAGCAACCCAATCATACCATCTCTAGCAAGTATTCGTACTGGACTTCTAAAAAACTGGTAATTAAATAGCGAATTACCATACCAGCTGAATCTCTCGTTTGTGGTGCTGATAAGCAACTGATTGTGCTGCACAAGGCCGCCTCATATTTCCTGTACTATATTCGAAACTTCGCGACAAATGTATAGACGTAATACACTACTCATAAGTTTGTTGAAAACTCTTCGACAGCACAGTAGAACGTAAAGTTGACGGAAACTTGAGGACCACATCGGCCGGATGAGCTCCAAGGAGGGCGAAACCGGTTGTGAGATTTGAAGAGCTTTCAACAACCTTATTAGTAGTGTATTACGCGTAGACAATCAATTATTTTCAAATCTGCCAGGTTACGTTAACGGTACTTTTGGGTTAGTCCAAGAAAATTCTTGTTTGACTTGCTACGTATTCAGAGCACTATGCGCAACGTGGTAAGCTCAACTTGTCAATGTTTGCCTCAAACAGTGTCCCCTCCCGGTTATCTAGATTGTTCGTCGTTCTTTAGGCTGACCTGGTTGCAAATGTTTCTTCACTAACCCGAGTGACGTGATCAGTCGTAAGTTGGCGGTGCATGTTGGCACGACCGCGTGTAGGATGTGTAACGAAGATATCTTGTGAGAGCTAAAGAATCACGCTTTGATGTTGCATTTTTGACCAATTCTTTCTGAATGATTTCTTGATCAGTTTCATATCATTCTTTCAAATAGTTGCATGCATTCCACATGATGCATTCTGTTCAAACTTCCCAGTCCAGAGGAAGACACAAATATGAGGGATATACCACAAGGGAACAGCCGTCCAGTATCTTTCATTGGCAGGGCATTCTATCAGTTGACGTCAGGGTGGAACGCAGAGAACAGAACCGGCTTCCCCAACATTCAGACTCATTTATCAAACACTCTCCTTCTGTGCAACGATTCGTTTAAATGGTCAACTTAAATAGAAAATTATGAGTACACTTCCCGCCTTTATTTTGGTTCGTATGACGTATCTTTGTTGTTAACGCATATTTTAACGTAAGCGCTACTTGAGTTTTTTTCGGGGCTGAGTTGAATGGTAGCGGGGCAGAATAACAGAGGTATAGAAAGTTTAGGTACACATGACACTTCTCTGAGTTAAAATGCGTGACGTGAATTTAATCTACTTTGTAATGTTATCTGTGGTAACACAGTTTGGGTGCATTCCCAGTTGGAGGTGAATGTAAGATATAAAACAGTGTTTGGATTACCAATACAACTCCCGGTTAGCAAAAGTTCGCCAACCCTGTGGAAGACGGCGGGATGTCTTGGAATCGGTCGGGGAGCAATTACTGAGACAGATCATTGGCAGCGTGCGGTTTATTGACGCCTCCACCAAACACCAATCACCTTGCTGTGGAGCGGGAAACTCTAACTCACCCAAGGCGTAGTGAAGAAATTCTAGTACCACTGGGATAGGTTCATCTGAATTTGCTAGAACGCGGGATTCTAACACCAAAAATGGGCCATTTTCCTTTTCATATACAACTTTACACCATTCCGACTGTTTATGCAGCTACCGAGCCTACCTCCAGGAAGGGCGACATTGGTCGTGGGCTGTCGAAGACTTTTCAGCAAACTTGTGAGTAGAATCTTTCATAAAAGTATACTCCCATATCTCGAATATCGTACCAACTGAAATATGAGGTGGCCTGTGTGCAGCACATTCAGTCGCAAAATATCATAAACGAGAGATTCAGTTGAGTCTCTCGTGAAAACCAAATCGATTTGCAAATGAGTGTATTACTCGAAAATAGTTCAATTTAGGTTCAAGTAGAACATAAGTTTGACGGAAACTCGGCGACTGCGCCTACCTGATGAGCCCGAAACAGAAGGGCGAAACCGGTCGCTGGCTGTCGGAAAGTTTTTAGAAACCTTGTGAGTAGTTTCCATTATAAAAAAATGCCACCATCTTTATTCTGAACGTAAACTTTCCATGACACTGAGAAAAAGCTTACTTATATTCTACTCGTCCAGATCATCGATTGCGGAGATGCACCTACGGGTCGTTATCCCCACATTTTAAGCACTGTGAAAAAAGAGAGACAATTTTTCACTACTGGGCATGTTAAGTGTTTGACCGCGGATTGTGTTACAGAGGAAAATCCTGAGAATATTTTGAGGAAAAACATGCGGAAGAAGTACAAATACAGTATTCCCATGACTGCTTTAACGAATGCGCCTATTGGATTTCCATTCGTGAGTTGTACATTTTGTGCCTTGTAGCTCCTACCCCATTCATTTTTCTTTTTATATGCAAGCACCGAATGAATCACGGATTGCAAGTATACCGATATTAATTTTGTTCATGTTTTAAATTCGTTTCTGCTTTGAAATAACTCCACTGAACTTGAGAAGCTGTCTATTCATGTTCTTTGGAAACGACCGCACCAAAGAAGTCGACAGACCGTTCAGCCTCACGGCAAGCAGGCCCTGCAGTATTGCTCAATTACCATCTTTCGGTTCCGAAAATAAATTACGGTAAAATTACCTCTACGTGTGTTTCGAGGGATGAAATACTTTGTTTTACACTCTAAAGTGCGTCATAGTCCCACGGAATCTTGGTTTAGCACATGTTACTCTTCTGCACCTACTTGTTTTTCCATTCGGACTGAGAGGAGATCATATTTCGCATGTCGCCTCTCTTGGGACCTTATCTAAATGCCTTAGACCAACCACATGCACCCTGTTTGCCTCTGTGTTTTCGAAATACTTGACGTCTTACGTGAAATCTCTTTGTTGTTCACTTGTTGCTTGTCGATCCTTTCAAGGCTTCTTCAACACTCCGTGTTCACTCCAAGCATTCTTGTGGGCAACACATTGTACGGCGATGTGAGGACTTTGAAATCGTTTGACTATTAGACAAGGGTAGTCTATTAATGTTACTTTTGCTCATGCCGCGGTTCTCGGGGCAAAGAGCTAACAGTTAACTTTTCGTAATATATCTGTCTGCTCAATGCCAGAAAAGACTGGTTTTGCGCAATAAATTTTGAACCCAGTTCCAAATAATCATATGAGATTTAGAAGCGCTAGACGAGAATCATTAGAGATCACTCGAATCCGGGCGGTGTTCGTAAAAAAAGAGTCGGTAAATTCTTTAACAGAATGGGTGTATTCGTGCTTTTTTTAATGAATAAACAAATCAACTGTTAGCTTAGCAATCTTCGCTCACAGCTTTCGCTATACGACCAGATCTGTCATACGGTTCCTGACCAAAGTAATTTCCGCTGAATAAAAGGAAAAAAAACATGAATTTAATAGAGGCATCCTTGTGGCGCACTCCTGTCCGTTTGCCACCAATGCGCGTACAACTTACGGTGGGCTGTAGCGGCAAACCGAAAAATAGGCACTTTTCATGGGTGCACCACTGCTCATGTACAAGTATGGACACAAATGTCGATAGCATCCGACCTCTGTGGTATTCTCCCAAACGATCTGTGGACAAATGATGATTAAATTTAACGAAAGCCGGAAAGAACAAAGACACGTATGGTTTTTACTTGAGAAGCTTGGTGAGGTATGTTTACCTGGGTATAATGTCCCGTAGCTGCGAGATTGTGAGAGCTAATTGGTCCAAAGCTGTATACTTTGTATTCATCGTACCAAGCTTTGACCGAACTAAAACAGAGAAGTGTATGGTGAAAAATAGGCTGATAGGTATGACGAAGATCAATGAAATCGGAGATGGGTAGTACAGGTGAAAGGAAGAAGGCCTTCGCTGAAAAGTTATCCATTAAAAAATGCCAACTGACAAGTTATAGACTATTGGACAGAGAAGCAAAACTCTCATTTGCATCTTATTTACAAAAACTGAACTCCAACTTCTATTTGAACGCGTCTTCTTGAACTTTCCTGGATATTCGTCGACTGTTGCTCAAATCCAAGCAAATAATATGAAGCGTCTTCTCCAATTCCGCAACAGATTTCCCTTTTCAATAGACGCAAAGCAAATTTACAAGAAGAAAACCTACTACTCGCATCATCCCATCAGTATCAACGTTGATAGTGATAGGTAGATATGATGGACGTCAATTAAGTCGGAGATGGGTAGTACAGGTATTCCCACAATGAAAGTGTTCTCATAATGGAAAAGCATAACTGACTTACTCATAGTTGATATCAGATGATGCGCCAATGTTTTCACCGTCACTACTGTAGGCCTTGTCCACATGCTTAAACACGCACCGGGTTGCCCAAGTTTTTGCGTCATTTTCTAGCTTTGAGCTCCAAGTCTCAAATTAAAAGATACAGTTGGAAATATTGTGTTAAAAACTGACCGATATTTATTTGATCTATCAAAAAGCAATAAGCGATGGGGCCGTCATAACCCCTATCAATTTGATTAAAATGGTAAAAAACGCTAGGTGACGATATATTTGTGTAAAGAGCAATAACGGTTTGTTTTAACTTACCAAGTTTTTCATGTTCACAGCGGCCGGTTGTCTAGGAACGCGGCCCAATCGAACCATCTCGCGATATTCGTTGTGTTTTTTTAAAAACGTATTCCGGTCCCACTTTGGTGCCTTCGTTGTGCAACTCCATACGAAGCAAGTGTTAAAGACTACGCAGTAAACAGTGAGCAAGCGGCCGGAGAGCATGCTACTTGTCTTTTGTCCTGTATGGAAGTGCTTAACATCCATCCGACTTTTATAGGAATTTCCATTGTGTGCTCCGTCAACTTAAGAAAGGATTGGTCAGCAAGTCACTGAATACCGAAACGCGATCAATGATTGGTTTTCTTTTAGAAGAGGAACATTTCACTGAGCACTCGGTTGGACCAACTTCACCGCAGAGAAGATTGTTCAACGGCCGCTTCATGATACGCAGTAGACCATTTCGAAGATAGTGGGGTGTTTATAACAGTTTGAAGTGGTAAGTATTCCAACCCCGTAAATGATTACCAATTTTCACAACACAGTTCCACTGTCCGTTTTATTTCACACTATCCTAGCACTGACATGTTAAATGCATTAGTACCGTTATAAGCGGTGAGTGGAAGCCACAGAGGTAGAGCAAACGGATTTGGGGAAACTGGCTGAAGGCTCGCTGATTTAGATCGGTGACTGATAGCAGGTGATCGCACGGGTTTCGTTCGAGTCAAGCGCATACTCGCTGGATTCTGTAAACGTTTCGCCGTCGGTACACAACATATGCGGCACCTACTTTAGATCCTATTCTAATCAACATCAAATACCTTGTTTGTGATACTTTCTAACAATACGCTAAGTGTGGAAAAGTGAAAGAACGAGTGAAGCTGAAGAAGGGCGCTTGACTGGAGTGCATCAAGGATTTGAAGTGAAATAACTTTACCATCGCAAACACTAGCCCCGAAACACATTTTCCACCATTATTGCCATACACATGAGTTATGGATGCCTGTGAGTTTCGTTTGCATTGTTTTCCTTGACAGATCACACATTTTGAATGATGGCTTCCTTTTTGAAGAGATGAACAAATCGTCTGACGGCATTCTTCAAGGGAATGACCATTTTGTCATCTAACAAAGTATTTGAAAGACCAATTTTGTTTCCCAACTTAGCGACATTCTCTGTTAGTTTGACTGCATTTGGAATGCATTTTTTATGATTCTACTAGTAGTTTTGATGATCAGGTTTCCCTTAATTTTGTTACGCGCGCTAGCTTCAGCGCATTCGTTACAACTCCATGTACACATATGCAGTCTACAGGACTTTAAACATCCCTGGATTTCAAAGCGAACTTATTTAGGAACAAGAATTCGGTGGAAGGCCTCTCGACTGATAATCAACCAACAAACATGGAGGGTTAGTACATACAAAGATCAGCTTGAACATCCTCAGGAGCACTTTGCTTGTAAACACCGCATATATTGAAATATTTACCTAAAAATTTGTTTCTAACCTCGTCAGTTCGAGTTTCGTAACACACAGGCGAATACCGGCCAGTTACTTTTTTCACTCAAATCATCACCATTTCTGGTTAATTAGTACATTTCTTTATGGTATCAACAACTAAAATGTCGCTTGGTATATCAAATATCGAGATTTCTTAAATTCATCCTGCAGGTTGTTCATTAGGTCATCAGTGGTTCCAGTGAAAGATGTGTCTGTAAACCAAAAGGCAAGCTGTTTCAAAGCGTTTTTGAACACACGTCACGGTGTCTGATCACCATTTCCAGAATACGATTGCCTTAAAGTTCCGTAGTAGAAGTTTCTATCAGTCATGCAGCGCTAAATGGTATTTTGGGTGTGCACAAAGCATTTTGCGACAACACCGGACGGACAACCCGGGGTTACGAATAAAACGTGCTGTGCTGCGTACGTACCTTTGAAGAAAATATCGCCCACATATTGCTTCACTTCTTTGTGTCCATGAGTCTAATGGTCTAGTCCTTCAGGAACAAACTGCAACGGGAACGTCTACCACACTGATTCCTGCAGAACAAACACGACAGTTGAGCGAAAACTTTAATCCAGCCTTTTTTGTGCAAATTCAGTGATCAAACCATGCCAAATTAGTTCTCAAGTATTTGATTCATTGTTGGATAAGCCCATGAACTAGCCTAATTAACCAAAACTAGTCATTTTTGGCATTTGGATGTAGGTGTAACGCGGTCCAACTAGCTGACGTATCGCACGGGGCCCCCCTTCAGCGTCGTGGAAAGATTCAGAAAGAAACCCAAAAGTGGGTCATGGTGAGTGGCTAACTGCGTTACCGAAATGAACAGGGCACTGATATTCCAAGTAAGCTTTTTGAACAGCTTGTGCATGGTTTCTCGCGCGATTCTACCGTATCTGGTTTGATCTAGAGCTGTCCGCGTTTTCTTGGCCGAAGGGTTGAAAATTTGTTCGAAAACATCCAACAAGTCTGCAGACTTTGAAAACTTCGCTGGGTGAGTGAAGAAAAAGTCCATTTGTGTGCGTTATTTTGCCCACTGCTTGCACAATCCATGGAAAACGAATGACAAAACATTCTCAGTTAGCAAAGATTCATCCAAAGACTACTTCAAATCGAGCAAATTTAGCATTACACCCACATCTTCGGCGCCAAAATTGGTCGATTCGAATATCTTTCGGTTCACGTTCATGACATATTGCGCTGTACTTTCGCCAAAGAGGGCATAGTTCCAGTAAAATTTGAATGCACACAGTTGAATTTTCTTCTACAGCAGAACGAGGATTTGTTCGGTCAACCAGTCACTAGAACGGAGCACAAGTGGAGGGGGGCAAAGATGAGCATAAAAATCTAGTTGTCGGTACCTTCCTTCGCCCGCGAATGAAGTCGGATTCATCTGCTGACCTCCTGGGTCCCTGCTATCTGGAATGTGAGACAAGTTCCTCTGAAGTACCGCGTACCGCCATAAAGAAGTGAGTGAGTAAATAAGTAAGTGTGCTAGCGCACATTGCGCCTTGAAGAGCATTCACCATTGTTTTTCCTTCCTTTGGTTGTTGGTCCTTAGACGCGTGTTTCCATTTCAAAATCTTTACATACTTTGGGATTCATCTCATCAGACTGGAACTGTTCTTGGCATGATTTCGAATCAGACTTCTCTCTCTTTTCTCCCATATTTTCCTGTTGCTCTTTCGCATTCATAGCTTGCATTCACTTTTTATGTTTGTGACCATGCTCTTCAAAAATAAATGATAATTGAACATAAGTAAGTAAGTGAGTAAGTAAGTAAGTAAGTAAGTAAGTAAGTAAGTAAGTAAGTAAGTAAGTAAGTAAGTAAGTAAGTAAGTAAGTAAGTAAGTAAGTAAGTAAGTAAGTAAGTAAGTAAGTAAGTAAGTAAGTAAGTAAGTAAGTAAGTAAGTAAGTAAGTAAGTAAGTAAGTAAGTAAGTAAGTAAGTAAGTAAGTAAGTAAGTAAGTAAGTAAGTAAGTAAGTAAGTAAGTAAGTAAGTAAGTAAGTAAGTAAGTAAGTAAGTAAGTAAGTAAGTAAGTAAGTAAGTAAGTAAGTAAGTAAGTAAGTAAGTAAGTAAGTAAGTAAGTAAGTAAGTAAGTAAGTAAGTAAGTAAGTAAGTAAGTAAGTAAGTAAGTAAGTAAGTAAGTAAGTAAGTAAGTAAGTAAGTAAGTAAGTAAGTAAGTAAGTAAGTAAGTAAGTAAGTAAGTAAGTAAGTAAGTAAGTAAGTAAGTAAGTAAGTAAGTAAGTAAGTAAGTAAGTAAGTAAGTAAGTAAGTAAGTAAGTAAGTAAGTAAGTAAGTAAGTAAGTAAGTAAGTAAGTAAGTAAGTAAGTAAGTAAGTAAGTAAGTAAGTAAGTAAGTAAGTAAGTAAGTAAGTAAGTAAGTAAGTAAGTAAGTAAGTAAGTAAGTAAGTAAGTAAGTAAGTAAGTAAGTAAGTAAGTAAGTAAGTAAGTAAGTAAGTAAGTAAGTAAGTAAGTAAGTAAGTAAGTAAGTAAGTAAGTAAGTAAGTAAGTAAGTAAGTAAGTAAGTAAGTAAGTAAGTAAGTAAGTAAGTAAGTAAGTAAGTAAGTAAGTAAGTAAGTAAGTAAGTAAGTAAGTAAGTAAGTAAGTAAGTAAGTAAGTAAGTAAGTAAGTAAGTAAGTAAGTAAGTAAGTAAGTAAGTAAGTAAGTAAGTAAGTAAGTAAGTAAGTAAGTAAGTAAGTAAGTAAGTAAGTAAGTAAGTAAGTAAGTAAGTAAGTAAGTAAGTAAGTAAGTAAGTAAGTAAGTAAGTAAGTAAGTAAGTAAGTAAGTAAGTAAGTAAGTAAGTAAGTAAGTAAGTAAGTAAGTAAGTAAGTAAGTAAGTAAGTAAGTAAGTAAGTAAGTAAGTAAGTAAGTAAGTAAGTAAGTAAGTAAGTAAGTAAGTAAGTAAGTAAGTAAGTAAGTAAGTAAGTAAGTAAGTA